GGGTTACACCTCAGTGTAAAGAAAACAAAAGTCCTCGAGACTGGACCCGTCAGTAACAACATGATAAATAGAGCAAAAGACTGAAGTTGTCAAAGACTTCATTTTTCTTGGATCCACTATCAACACTCATGGAAACAGCAGTCAGGAAATCAAATGATTTATTGCATTAGGTAAATCTGCTGCACAAGACCTTTTGAAAGTTTTCAAGAGCAAAGATCTCAATTTGAGGACTAAGGTGCACCTGACCCAAGCCATGGTATTTTCAGTGGCTTCGTACTCATATATAGAAGTTGGACAGTGAATAAGAAAACTGTAAAAGAGTCGATGTGTTTGAGTTAGAGTCTTGGAATAGAATATAAGAAGTACCACGGCCTGCTAGAAGAATCAACAAATCTGTGTTGGAATAAAGTACAGCCAGTGTGCTCCTTAGAAGCCTGGATGGCAGGACTTCATCTCATATATTTTTGACAGGTATTAGGATCCAGGCTCCTGCATAGGATATTATACTTGCTAGAGTAGAGGGTCAGTGAAAAAAAGGAAGATACTAGTGTAGAATGGTTACGAATTGGGCTGCAAACCTTAAGGCCAGCAGTTCGAAACTACCAGCTGTTCCGCGGGAGAAAGATGAGGCGTTTTGCTCCCGTAAAGATTTACAGCCTCGGAAACCCTGTAGAGGGTCGCTATGGGTCGGAAACAATTCGATGGCACTTAACAACAACAACAACCCAGTGAGGTTGTTTGGAAAATCAAATTCATATTCCAAAAGTTACTCAGTAATCATGGGTATCTTAATTGCATTTGAATCTGTAAACTTAAAATTCTGTTGTTCCAAATATTGTCCCTCTTCCTATTATCTGTGTCTTACATATGTCAGATTCATAATTCTGATATCTACTAGCTAGCTCAGCATGGGGCTCCGTCATTCCCCACTCTCTCCTCCCCCTAGGTCATCATATTTCAGATAGCTTTTGTTTATATCACTTGTGTGGTTACATGTTATATTTTTCAAGGTTGTAACCTTTATGACATTTTATAGTAAATATGTATTGTATATATTAACACTTGGATAATGTGCATTGTCTTTTCATCCACAAAACATTTTTCATTTGATTATGAAAGGAAATCAACCTGTCTCCACTTTTATTCTCCCTTTTTCCACTTTTAACAAACTTCTAAAGACTAGTCTTCTGTTGATGTGTGTACTTTACACAGTCTAGCTCCCATTCTTTACCTAGAGACAACTCAAAACCGGCTGCAACAGTACACTGACGGGGAACTGCCCGACGTTCAAGCAGTGCTCAGATGAGGATGTGGAACGAGAGATACCATTACTGATGTTAAATGGATTGTGGCAGAAAGCAGAGACTACCAGAACGATGTTTATCTGTGTTTTATTGACTACACAATAGCTTTTGACTGCGTGGATCATGACAAGATGTGGATAGCATTGTGGAGACTGAGTATTCTGGAACAGTTAATTGTGCTCGTGAAGAACCTGTACATAGACCAAGAGGCAGGTGTTCAAACAGAACAAGGGGTTATTGAATAGTTTAAAATTAGGAAAAGTGTATTCCAGGGTTGTATTTTTCACCAGACTTATTCAGTCTGTATGCTGACCAAATAATTAGAGAAGCTGGGTTATATGATGAAAAATGTGGCATTAGAATTGGAGGAAGACTCATTAACAATCTATGATGTAGAGATAATACAACCTTATTTGCTGAAAGTGAAGAGGACTTAAAATACTTACTGATGAAGATCAAAGACCACAGCCTTTGGTTTGGGTTGCAATTCAATTTAAAGAAAATAAAAATCCTCATAAGTAGTCCAATAAATAATAACATTAATATAAATGGAGAAAGGATTGAAGTTGTCAAATACTTAATTTTGCTCAGATAAACCATCAACACTCATGGAAGCAGCAGTCAAGAAATCAAATGACATACTGCATTAGACAAGTGTGCTGCGTTAGACTTCTTTAAGGTGTCAAGAGTAAAGATTTCAGTTTGAAGACTAAGGTATGTCTGACTCAAGTCATGGTATTTTCAGTAACCTCAGATGCATGTGAAAGTTGGACAGTGAGTAAAGAAGATCATAGAATTGATGCATTTGAGTTAGAGCATTAGAAAAGAATTTTAATATTAAAAGTAACATGGATGTTCAAAAGAACAAACCAAGTCTGTGTTGGAAGAAGTACAGCCAGAATGGTCCTTGGAAGCCAGGATGGCCAGACTTCATCTCTCATACTTCAGACCTATTATCAGGAGCTCTGGTAGCGTAGTGGTTACGAATCGGGCTGCGAACCTTAAGGTCAGCGGTTCGAAACTACCAGCCGCTCCGCGGGAGAAAGATGAGGCTTTCTACTCCCGTAAAGATTTACAGCCTCCCAAAAGTACTAGAGGGTCGCTATGGGTCGGAAACAATTCGATGGCACTTAACAACAACAACAACATCAGTGTTTGGAGAAGGATATCATGCTTAGTAAAGGAGATCTGGTAGCGTAGTGGTTACGAATCGGGCTGCAAACCGTGAGGTCAGCAGTTCAAAACTACCAGTTGCTCCATGGGAGAAAGATGAGGCTTTCTGCTCCCGTAAAGATTTACAGGGTCGCTATGAGTCGGAACCGACGCCACAGCACTTAACAACAACAATCATGCTTAGTAAAGTGGAGGGTCAGCGTAAGAGAGGAAGACTCCAGTGATACGGATTGGCGCACAGCGGCTACAGTTATGGGCTCCAGTGTAGCAACAAGTGTGAGGTTGGTGCAGGACTGGGCAGTGTTTTGTTGTGTTGTGCATAAAGTAGCTATGAGTCAGTACTAACTTGATAGCACTTAACAACAACAACAACAACTTCCACTCAGTTTTACCTAAAGTACTCTCTTCAAAGATCGTAAATGTACTCTCATACATCTGTTGTCTTTTAAAAAAAAAATAGTAATTAGCATCTTGCTCTGCCACTAAATTTATGTTTTCTTCCATTCTTTTTCTTCGGAGTTTCTGCAAGATTATTTTGACTTCCTTCTTGCTTTTACTTACCTAACTCCTTGCTCGTTTTCCGTTATTGTTCCACTTCTGCCCTGTAAGTTTCCAACAGAACTGTCCTCGTTATTTCTCTGTGTAGTTTTTATCCGTGATGTTACAAAGACCCTTAAGCTATCACCTCTGGAGTTGCTCCAGTTTCTGCCTCCTCCTTTTCTCTTGACTCCATCTCAGCCTCCTATGGTGTGGCGTTGTAGGGTTAGCACTGGACTGCTAACTCAAAGTTTGCAGTTCAAACCTACCAACAGCTCTTTGGAAACCCTTTGCAGGCACACTTTGAGTCAGAACCAACTCAACAGCACTTAACAATCCTACACTTAATTCTCAATATCCTACCAGTCTATGAAACTTTTCTCTATATAAAGCTTTTTTCTCTTATCACTTCTTCCATGTTTTTTACTGCCCTTGTATCCAGTTACCTGGTATATTATCTGTTTCATGTTCCTTGGCTCATCCGTTTGTTATTTTTTGTCATTATTGTTCATTTTCCATTGTCTTCTCTAATCCACTGTATCTGTATTTGCTAAGACAAGCCTTCCTGAAGCACTGGAAATTTTATAATCTTACTTGAACCTGGCTGTATCTGGTGGGATCCTGTAAAGTGATTTTCTAGCTTTCACTCTATTTCTAACATGTTTCAATCTTGACAACTTATTTGTTAACAAATAAATAAACCCATTCTTTCCTACTTTCTTTGATATTGTTGCTTTTACTTGAAAAGTATGCTCAAAATAATTTCCTTACAAATATTTCCACCTATAAATATCATTCCCTCTCTAATCCCCTTACCTAACACCACTGCTGTTTTTGTACGATAAATGCTGTCTCATTTCACTTTGGGATTTCAGAAATCACCCTTTTATTAGCCCAACAATTCCCTTCCTCCAGAGCACATTCTCTAAAGCACTTTGAAGCTTTCTGATGTCCATATACTATCATCAAACATTTAGATCTTAGCTCAACTATAAGTTACATTTTTGGAGATCAAGGACTGACTCTTACGAAGTTCTTTGATTTTTTTGCATTCCCTCTGAGTCTAGCATCAGGATTGCTACTTACTGTTGTGCAGGTGTGCTGTATAGATGGAAACACTTCTGAACATGGCCTCAGTGAGCAAGAAAGAACTTAAGGGAGTTGATTTTTGTTTTCTGTTTTGCACATGTCTACCCCTTCATATATTTGGCACATCTGTGGTGAATAATATTATTTACTGCCTTTGTCCACTCACTTCCATCTGCAAGTGGGTTTTTATTATGCCCTCTTATCTGTTTTGTCTGTATCAACTTCCTTTCTGGTTAACTCTCCCCATACATCAGTGCCGGCTGCTGGCTGTAAATAATCTAAGTAGTGTAGTGTTTCCTTTATGTTACAATTGTTATCATGTGGCGTCATTCCTAAATCATTGTTGAGACAGGTTCTATCTTCAACATAGGTAACTAACAACCCTACACTCTATGAATTTCCCATTTTTGAAACCTGTGTCACCTTCCTTTCTTAAGCTTTTGAATTTGCCGTTGTTACTGTTGATATGGAGTCCTGTTGTGGCGCTTTGGGTTAATGCACTGAACTGCAAGGTCAGTTTGAGCTGCATGGTCAGTGGTTGAAACTCACCAGCCACTCCTCAGAAACACTATACAGTGTAGCTCTGAGTCGGAACTGACTGACCAGCACTTAACGACATCATCACTGTAGGTACAGGATCCCTGGTATCATAGTGAATCGTGAGCTTGGCTTGCTAACCACAAGGTCAGCAGTTCAAATCTACCAGCAGCTCATGGAAGAAAGATGAGGGTTTCTGCTCCTGAAAGATTTGCAGCCTCGGAAACCTTTTACAGGTTTGCTGTGAGTTGAAACCAACTCCACAGCACATCACCACCACCACTGTTTGTGCGCTTAACTGTAGTTTATCATTTTCTTAGGTCTGATGAGATTCACATGACTTTTGCTCTTCCATTGCAGGTCGTTCTTCCCTCTTTCCAATAGATGACGGCTTGCTGGATGACGCTCATAGTGATCAAGTTGGTGTTTTAAACTCACCCACATGTTATTCAGCCCATCAAAATGGAGAGAGGATAGAACGTTTCTCTCGAAAAGTTTTTGTTGGTGGTCTTCCTCCTGATATTGATGAAGGTAGGTGATGATTTGGGCTTTAGAAAAAATAGAAGAAGCCTTAAACATGAGGAGCTTCAAAAAGTGTTTGGAAAAATTCCGTTAACTTTCAATTACATATTTCCATAAACTTTTTGAAAGCCCTCTCAATAATACGAGCAGGGGTAGGGGATAGGTAGGGACATGGAGTTTTTAACATAAGCTATGCCACAGGTATTTTAAATACCAGCAGGGTCACCCATGGTGGACAGGTTTCAGATGAGCTTTCAGACGAAGACAGATTCGGACGGAAGGAGCAACGAACTACTTCCAAATGTTTAGTCACTGAAAACCTTATGAATAGCAGAGAAACAGTCAGATATAGTGCCTGAAAATGAGCCCCTCAGGTTGGAAGGCACTCAAAATGCAACTGAGGAAGAGCTGCCTCCTCAAAGTAGAGTTGACCATGATGACACAAATGGAGTAAAAGCCCATGGAAGTAAGCCCAAGGGACCTTCATTTGCTGATGGGGCACAACTCAAAATGAAGAGAAACAGTTGTAAACATTCATTGATAATTGGAATATAGAATGTACAAAATATAAATCTAGGAAAATTGGAAATTGTCAAAAATGAAATGGAATGCATAAACATCGATATCTTAGGCATTGGTGAGCTAAAACTGACTGGTATTGGCCATTTTGAATCTGACAACCACATGGTTTACTATGCTGGGAATGACAAATTGAAAAGGAATGGTGTTGCATTCACTGTCAAAAAGAACATATTCAGATCAGTCATGAGGTACAACGCTGTCTGTGATAGGATAATATCCATGCACCTACAGGGAAGACCAGTTACTACCACTATTACTCAAATTTATGCACCAACCACTAAAGCCAGTGAGAATGAAATAGAAGAATTCTACCAACTTCTTCAATCTAAAATTGATCAAACATGCAATCAAGATGTATTGATCATTACTGGTGATTGGAATGCAAAGGTTGGAAATAACGAAGAAGGATCAGTAGTTGTAAAATATGGCCTTGGTGATAGAAATGATGTTGGAGATTGCATGATAGAATTCTGCAAAATCAGTTGTTTGTTCATTTCAAATACCTTCTTTAGACAGCATAAGAGATGATTATACACATGGACCTCGCCAAATGGATGCACAGAAATCAAATTGACTACATCTGTGGAAAAAGATGAAGGAAAAGCTCTGTATCATCAGTCAAAACAAGGCCAGGGGCCAACTGTGGAACAGACCATCAATGGCTCATATGCAAATTCAAACTGAAGCTGAAGAAAATGAAAACAAGTCCACGAGAGTCAAAATATGACCTTGAATATATCCCACCTGAATTTAGAGATCACTTGATACAATAAACACTGAAGACCAAAGACCAGAAGACTTGTGGGATGACATCAAGAACATCATACATGAAGAAAGCCAAAATCATTAAGAAGACAAGAAAGAAGGAAAAGATCAAAATGAATGTCAGAAGAGACACTGAAACTTAACTCTCCAGTGTAGAGATGCTAAAGCAAATGGAAGAAATGAGGAGGTCCAAGAGCTGAACAGAAAATTTCAAAGATCAGCTCGAAAAGACAAAGTCAAATATTACAACAAAATGTGCAAAGATCTGGAATCAGAAAACCAAAAAGGAAGAACATGTTCAGCATTTCTCAAGCTGGGGGAACTGAAGAAAAAATTCAAGCCTCGAGTTTTCATTACTGAAAGATTCTCTGGGCAAATTAATTGAATGATGCAGAAAGCTTCAAAACAAGACAGAAGCAATACGCAGAGTCACTGTACCATAAGGAAATGGGTGATGTTTACCCATTTCAGGAGGTAGCATATGATCAAGAGCCAATGATCCTGTAGGAAAAAGTCCAAGGTGCACTGAAGGAATTGGCAAAGAAAAAGGCTCCAGGAATTGGTGGAATAAAAATTGAAATCTTTAAAGAAAGTGATGTGCCACTGGAGGCACTCACTCATCTATACCAAGAAATTTGGAAGACAGCTATCTGGCTGACTGGAAGAGATATGTATTTGTGTCCATTCCAAAGAGAGGTGACCCAGTGGAATGCGGAAATCATCGGACAATATCTTTGATATCCCATGCGAGTAAAGTTTTACTAACAATAATACAGAGACATCTGCAAACACTTCCAGAGGTTCAAGCCAGATTCAGAAGAGGACGTGGAATGAGGAATATCTTTGCTGATAACCAGTGGATCTTGCCTGAAAGCAGAGAATACAAAAAGATGTTTACCTGTGCTTTATTGATTATACGAAGACTTTCGATTGTGTGAATCATGACAAGCTACGGACAACATTTCAAAGTATGAGTAATCTGTAACACTTAATGGTGCTCATGAGGAATCTGTACATGGACCAAGAGGCAGTTGTTCGAACAGAACATGGGAACACTGAATGTTTTAAAATTAAGAAAGGTGTGTAACAGGGTTGTATTCTTTCACCATACTTATTCAACCTATATGCTGAGCAAATAATCTGAGAAACTGGGTTAGATGAAGAAAAACTTGGCATCAGAACTGGAGGAAAACTCATTAACAACCTGCTATTTGCAGATGATACAACTTTGCTTGCTGAAAGTGAAGAGGATTTAAAATACTTAAAGATACTGATAAAGATCAAAGAGCATAGCCTATGGTTGAATTGAATTTCAATGTTAAGAGAACAAAAATCCTCACCAGTGGACCAATAAAGAATATTCTTATCAATGGAGAAAAGATTGAAGTTGTCAGGGACTTTTTTCTTCTAGGATCAACTATCAGCACTCATGGAAGCAGCAGTCAAGAAATCAAAGGGTGTATTGCTTTAGGCAAATCTGCTGCACAAGACCTTTTTAAAGTGTTGAAGAGCAAAAATGCCAGTCAGCTTGAGGACTAAGGTGCACCTGACCCCCAAGCCATGATATTTTCAATAACCTCATATTCATATGAAAGCTAGACAATGAATAAAGAAGACCGTAGAAGAATTGATGCTTTTGAGTTATGGTGTTGGAGGAGAATATTGAAAGTGCCATTGGCTGCCAAAAGAACCAACAGATCTGTGTTGGAAGAAGTGCAGCTGGAGCATGCTCCTTGGAGGCCAGGATGGCCAAACTTCGTCTCTCATACTTCAGACAAATTGTCAGGAGGGACCAGTTGCTGGAAAAAGATATCATGTTTGGTAAGGTAGAAGGTCAGAGAAAAAGAGAAAGACCCCCAGTGAGATGCTGCCAAATGGCAGCATCATTGAGCTCAAGTGTGGCAACAATTGTGAGGATGGCCCTGGACCAGGCAGTGTTTTGTTCTGTTGCACATAAGGTCACTATGAGTTGATACTGACTCGATGGCATGTAACAACAACAACAACAATACACACACACACAAATGTATATATATATATATATATAGAGAGAGAGAGAGAGAGAGAGAGAGAGAGAGATCTTTCTTGTTTTTAAGTGCTATAGAGTCAAATCCAAATTAGCAATCCTATATGTGCTTTCCAAGGACATCTAGTGGGTTTGAACTTTAGATCTTGTGGTTAGCAGTCCAGTGCTGGCCCTACCTTATTTAAATATATAATACTTAAAACCTTTTCTATGACCCTGACATATATACACACAAATAATGTAAGTGGAGCCCAACCATGAACCTGTATCAGCAATGCATGATAAACCATCTTTAAGGCAAATGCACTTTCAGAATTTACTTAGAAAGAGACTATAAAATTAAAAGAGAAATGAAGAAATAGCATACCCAGGAAACCCAGGTTATACAAATCTCTAAATATGGAGACCAACCCATGCAATTACAGCCATTTTTGGTTGTAATTGTACACAATTGTACACAAATAGTACACAATTGAAAATACCTGTGGCTATCCAACTCCAGGTGTGGCACTGTAGGATCAGGACTGAACTACAACCATAAGGTTGGTGTTTCAAACATACTGCCTGCTCCTCAGAAACCCTATGTATAGTCGCTATCAGTCAGAACCGACTCAACGACATTTAACAACAGCATCCAGTGTTTGTGAGGTGTCGGGAAGCCTGTCACTCTCATTCATAGCTAGTTTGGGGAGGTTTTCATCTATATAGATCACATATCCATAAACCAATTTTACACTTTAATCAGTGTGATAAGATTTTGGTGCAATGAAATAAAACATGACATTGGATTTGGCTTATCTGTGTTTCGGGGAAGCTACCTGCAATCTATCAGATATTAGTATATTTTAGAACCATTATAACTTTTTAAGTCATGTTTCAACCAAGCGTTTATTCTGATGAGCATAGATTTACTTGTGAAACAGTAATGACCCTCTTTGTTGAACTCAAAATGTTGGCATGTTTCTCAAGCCACTGCTGTTTATGGTTTTGTGCAGTATAAATGCAATAGTATCCATACAAAGTTCCATGATATTTTGAAATTCACACTGAATTGATTATTCTGGCCAATGTGCTCCTTAAAGTTGAATTTATTTGACAAATACTAAGTTTTGCATATTTTAATAAAGATGTTAGACCTGTTCTTAATTTGTTTACATTCCAGCTTACCTTAGTAGACTATATTTGGCACACATACATAGTACATCTTCAGAGTAGTTTATAAAATACAGGATTTCTTAAAATTAATCATTAAAACCAATTCCTACTGAAAATTGTACTGTTTTCAGATGAAATAACAGCAAGCTTCAGAAGGTTTGGGCCTTTGGTAGTAGACTGGCCTCACAAAGCCGAAAGCAAGTCCTATTTCCCACCAAAAGGTAAGGGGTTTTATTGTTAATATTTGGTGGGGATTGGTTGTGTGAGAACAAAAGAGACATTATCAAGTGCTTCCAATGCATTTTCTTTTCTCTTAGAAATGATTATGAGCACATCTGTATATAAGCTAATAGAGCAATTTGAAAAGGCTGGTCACATGTGTTGAATGAGGCCAACGGGTCCTAAGAACCATTCCAGTTTTACTTGAAGCCTGTAAGAAATCATGAGACGTACTTACTGTTTTATGATGATAAATGATGATAATTTCAGAGACTCAAACCAACAAATGTTTTGAGTGTTTTCTCTGTCTATAGCATCATTCTAAGTAATGTTGGTACAGACATATTTAAACTAATGTTTCTTCTTATTTAATAAAACTAAGATCAAATAAATTGGTCATAAAATATAAACTTATGAGCTGTTTGTTGTGGCGCTGTGGGTTAGTGCAAGCTCAGTTTGATCCACAAGTTTGGCTGTTCAACTTTATCTGCCACTCCTTAGAAACCCTAAATAGGGTCACTATGGGTCAGAACCGACTCAACAGCACTTAACAACAACAGTGAGTTATTTAAATACTGTAAGGCTTACCTAAATGTTCCAGAGAGCATTAGAAAACACCAAAGCAGTGTAGCCTTTGTTAGTGAATTGTTGCTGTAGATTTGGCAGGAGTGACTCAAGACTTTCTTAAAGCCCTCAGTTACATACAGAGGTCAGATCAGAGAAGGGTACTTAGTTGTGTTGATGACTTATTGCTAGGCTAATGCTAACTGCCAGAGAACAAGAACTGTGAGCTGTGGTAACATTCATTTAAGCATGGTTTAGTTCCCATGGTTTAGTTCAGCATCGGTGGGAGAGGAATTATAGCCGGTCTTCCACGAGAACGGGAAGAGAGGAGAGCTGGGAAAGAATCCAGTCTGTACAAATAGCTAAAGGCAAACATCTCTGAAGTGGGTATAAGAAAAGGGGAGGTTGAAAGACTTAAGACTTTTGTTTGAACACCATTGAAATTGTTGTTGTTGTTATGTGCCGTGGAGTTGATTCCAACTCATAGTGACCCTGCACAGGGTTTCTGAGGCTGTTAATCTTTACGGGAGCAGAAAGCCTCATCTTTCTCCCGCGGAACAGCTGGTAGTTTCGAACTGCTGACCTTGCGGTTCACAGCCCAATTCATAATCACCACGCTACCAGAAAGCACCCCACTGTTTTCATGGTGGGATGAAATCTCAGGCCTGGAGACAAGACTCCAGAAAACCTGTTTAAAAAAAAAAAAAAAAAAAAAGGTGTGCTTTGGCTGTGGGAAAAAGAAGCACTTTAGGGAAATTATAGGTAAGCAACCTGAGTGTCCTGGTGATTGAGTTATGTGGACCCATCTCCCCACTTTGTCACTGAGAGCTGTCTAGCTTTCATTATTAGTTACTGTAGTTCTTTAGAGAGATGGATGATGCCATGGTAGCGTATGTTTTAGACCTTTAGATCTTGCACTACAGAATCCAGAACACCTTTTGAACAGGGATTCTGGGTCCCAGGCCTGTAGGAGAATCTGATTAAAACGTTGGTTGTTTCCAGGATTTGCACACAGTTTCAGAGTTTACTGAAACCCTTTGACTGAGACAGAAAATGAACTTCATGTAGATCCAGATAGTCATTTCTGAACTGAAATGAAAGTTTAAGCTATTGTGTCCACAGAATTACTGTTGTTCTTACATACTGTTTATGTTATGTAGTAGTAGTCATTCAGTGGATATTAGCTTGCAATGTTTCTACCCAAGCTATCATTTTCTCTTGCCTTGACACTGGTCCTACTGGTTTGTCCATATCACTGGCCCTTTGCAGCAGTGTGTGTGTCATTTTTACGGTACTGTCAGAGCATTCTTTCTGAAGTGCCCACCTGATGATACTTTCCTATACCCCTACTGAAAGCCCTTCAGTGGCATGCTTCTCTAGGAGGATAAAGTCAAGAACACAATCCTGGTGGCTAGCAAAGCCCTGCACAGACTAGCTTCCTGCTAATCTCTCTTGCTTCTTCTCAGTCCTTGCAGTTGGCTCTGTTCTCTCCGACCTCAGAATTTTTGTGTCTGACATACTCTTAGTCCACAAACTCTTCCTGTGTCTTCATCTGTCTTATCTCCTACTCTTCTTTCATAACTCAGCTTGCATTTCAGTCCCTAACAAAAGAAAACATCCAGGACCTACCTAGTGAGGTCAGATCTTCCTAGTGTGAACTCTCCAAGCACTCATCACAGTATGGTATTACATTTTTGTAATTTTACAAATGATGTGATGGTTTTATCAATATCACTTCTTTCCAATAGTCTTTAATATTCTAGTCACCCTTGTAATGGATCAAGGGTGATATAATACCCTGATCAATTTTATAAACAGCAATAAATACTACAGGATAAAGAAGTGACTTTGACCTGACGTTGGTGGAGAAAAGTTTCATGAAGAAAGAGATGTTTTGAACTAACTCTTTAAATACTGTGGAATTTAGATAAAAAGAAGTTGAACAGAGATTAAGAGAAGAAATCTAATCTTTGAAAAGCATTAGTTTGGATGGAGATACACATATTTGTGTGAACTGTTTTGTTCATATAAGGGGAATAGTAGACTCCGGGCTGAAACTATGGGTTGGAACAAGGCTAATAAAAAAAAGGAATACTTGTCTTACTGGCTATTGTTGCCAGCATCGTTATTGCTGTGGTTTGGGTGGTGGTTTTAGAGGGTTTTTTTTTATAAAATGAGAAAGAAAGAAAAAAAAAAAAAAAAAAAAAAAAAATCAGCACTAGCAACTCATGGTTCTTTGTAGCCATTGCCAAATACCAGTGTTGTCAACCCTAGTTTTTTCAGGTTTTTGTCATCGCTGTAATGCAGCCTTTTTATGGTTTGGGAACTCCTGTTATGGAAGCATGTAGTTGGTGATGCTGACTTTTCATTAAGGCAGTAACTCCAGTGTTGAGCAACATACACTTATGTTTCCTCTTCCATGAAATGGATCCTGGTATGGCGATACAGGAAAAGCACTGGCCTACTAGCTACAAGGTTGGTGGTTCAAACCTAACAGCCGCTCCTTGAAAACCTGAAACAGCATCACTATGAGTCAGAATCAGTTCCACAGCACTTTTGTTTTTTGCCATGAATAAGAACCACCCTATATAATTATTTATTTGGAGTCCTGGTATGGTGCTGCAGGTTAATACACTAGACTGCAAGGTTGATTTGAACCACAAGGTCGAGGGTTCAAGCTCACCAGCCGCTCCTTGGAAGCCTTACATAGGCTCGCTATGAGTCGGAACCAACTGTACAGCACTTGACAGCAACAGTATAATCACTTAGGACCCCTCGTGGTGTAGTGGGGTTAGTACTGGCCTGCTGGTCTCAAGGTCAGCAGTTCAAACCCACCAGCGGCTCCACAGGAGGAAGATGAGGCTGTCTGCGCCCCTAAAGATTTACAGACTCAGAAACCCGAGGGAGCACTTGGATTCTGTCCTTACAGGGTCGATCTAAATCTGGATCAGTATAAATCTTGACAGCAGTAGGTCAGGTGGTTGGTTATGAACTTGTTAGCTAGCTTAGTAAATTCTAGAGGAGCTGTTCCATGGTCGTGTTTTAGTAAGAGTATTTTCATATTAATGACTTGCCTTTTTGTTGTTGCTGTTGTTGTTGTTAGTTGCCATGGAGTTCTTTCCAGCTGATGCTGATTAGAGCATATCTCCACTAGGTTTTCTTGGCGTCATCTTAATGGAAGTGGTTCACTAGGCCTTTTCTTCCAAGGTGCCTCTGAGTGGATTCACTGTGGATTACTAACCACTTGATATAGGTCATAATTTACCATCATTTTATTTAATTAAATGCTGTCGACATAAACATTTATCCCCTAGTAATAACAAAGTACTGGACTGGGAACCACAAGGTCAGTGGTTCAAACCCACCAGCTGCTACTCGGAAACCCTATACAGGGTTGCTCTGAGTCAGAACCAACTAGACTGCACTTAACAACAATAACAAAATAAATGAAGCAGCATTAGAAATATTGAACGTAAAATATTTTCGTGCATTGATTTTATGTTCTTTCTCTTTATTACTACACCACAGTTACTTTCTCAGATCCTTCCTGTTGTTGGTAGGTGTCATGAAGTCATTTCAGAGTTACAGAGAACCCAGCTATAAGAGACTGAAGCGCTGCCTTGTTCTGCACCAGCTTCACAACTGTTCCTCTGTTGGAGCTCACTGTTGAGCCACTGTGTCAGTACATCTATGTCACTGAGAGTCGGCCTCTTTTTCACTGACCCTCTAGTTTACCAAGCACGATGTCCTGCAGAGACTGGTCAAAGCACATAAGACAAAGTTTCTCCATCCTCCCTCTAAGGAGCTTTCTGGCTAAACGTATCCAAGACCGTGGCATATTATGACAGATCATGGTGCATTCAGTAATATTCTCCAGCACCATAATCCAGTGCATCATTCTTTGTTTTCGTTTTCTTTTTATTGTGAATTGAGTGGAGATTTATAGAGTATATAATTTGAGTTTTGTTCCACATTTTGTCTTCTCACTCCAAGGCCTTTTAATGTGATTTCTTTCAGAATGGTTGGTATGGTAGCCGCCAAGCACTGTCTAATAGTTCTTCTGACCTGATGGTTGTAGATATTAATGTTCATATGTTACATTAGTCTGTTGTACACATCTTCAGTTTTCATCATTCTTCTTTCTTCCACACAGGGAAAGACCAATAATTGTACTTTCTTGTTGTGAAGTGCTGCCAAGTGAGTCCCGACTCATAACGACGCTGTATATAGGGTTTCTGAGGCTTTAAATCTTTGCAGGAGCAGAAAGCCTCATCTTTCTCCAGTAGAGTGGTTGGTGGGCTCGAACTACCAACCATGTGGTTCACAGTCCAGTACTTAACATTTGGAGCTTAGATAGCTGCTACTAAGCTTTAAAGATCCCAGTTGATACTCACCTAAATAGGATGTAGAACATTGTCTTTGTGCACTGTGTTATTCCAGGTGACCATGGTGTCCCCCAAGACTATGGTCCTGAGCTCCCAGGTCCAGCAACACATTCTTTCAAAGTGTTTGGTAGTATCTACAAACTTTTCATAATTATGCTCCCTCACATTTACAGCAATGCTAAATATCCCTGTACAAATATCCCCTGTCATACGTCTGTGGGTGTACTCGCACTCGGCCTCCCAGACCCATGCAGCCTGTATCTGTGTACTCATAGTTCCTCTGCAGTTCTTGTCTTCCTTATGCCTTATCCAGCTTTCACATGCCTATGGGTGACTTGAAAACAGCATGACTTGGGTCCGATGCACTTTATTCCTCAACTTAATAGATCTTAACTTCTATCAGAAACCTTAAAGCAATTACTTAAAACCAACCTTAACTTCATATTTTATTTGTGATGGTCTTTCACAGCTAGAAAGGTCAAAGTTGTGTGTGTATATTTGTTTGCTATCTTATATAATCTTCGGTTGGAAGTTTCTGTTTGTGTAGGTTGGTTTGATGGCATCTTTATGCTATCATGTATTTTATTTTAAATGAAGTACTTTCGGATCCCCTCAGACCAAGCAGCATGAGAACTATGATTGGCAATAAGCTAGTTTTTGAGTTCTGAGTAAAACCCATTGCTTAGTGGAACCGATGTGATGGACTGCTTTCATGGATTCCTCATGGTGGGACTCCATTACAGTGTGGTACATTTATTTGGGTAAAAATTGTGTGAGGAAAGGTATAGATTTATACTTTATACTTTTAAAGTTAGCAGCTGCTGACAATAATCACGTAATAGTAGCCTTGAAATTTAAATGTTGATGCATTATTTTAATGAAGTCTTTTCTGCCTACTGTAAGTATGGTATTTGATTAGAGATTGGCAGTTGTGTGTTCCCAAAGAAAGGAGGAAGGCCATATTTCTTAACAGTGGTATCTAAGCAAAACCTTGAACCCAAGGTTTAAACACTGGCTCCTGGTTATTTAAAAATTGACTTAAAAGTGTTGGGTTCCACTGCTCATCCAAGTTGAGACATGATCTAGAAGTTCTGACCCATGCTTAAGGAGCGTATTTCATTAAAACTACCTGAAATGGTTCTCTTAGTATCATCAGTGATATTGTGGAATTTTTCCTCTACTTACGAGAATTCCTGGGCCTTTCCAAGTGTGTCTCTAACCCAAAGTATGCTCTTGTTGTTGTTAAGTGCATTGCCCTGTGGGCATGTACAGGAACCTTCAGACCCTAACATGCTCAACCTGTTCAGTCTGCCAAATATTTCCATTATGACTCTGCTCTTTCTGCTAGTATTAATTAGTAGAAAGAGCAGAGGAGCCCTTGGACTGAGTTGGGTGTGAAATGTAGCCCAGCCAACTACTTTCCATGTGACTGCCTCTGGGCCACTAGTTGAACTTTTGGGTAGTACAGTTGGTTCTTTGTAAAATGGAAATGATGTTTCATAGGCTTGTTGTGAAATTCAGTGCAGTAACTCACATAAAGCTCTTAGCACACTGACTGATAGTGACTACTGCTTATAGACTAGCTCATTGCTTTTCCTGTTTGCATATGTGTTCCATAGGCTAGTGTGCCCCTTTGACGGTGTAATGGTTCTAATCCTATTTGATAGTTGGTTTTAGTCCTTCCTTTTGCAAAGGCATGTGTTTTATAAAGAAATGCAGGATGAAATCATTTACCTTGACATATCATGCCTCATTTGTCATGGTTGTTCCAGGCTATGCATTCCTTCTCTTTCAAGAAGAGAGCTCCGTTCAGGCTCTGATTGATGCTTGCATTGAGGAAGATGGGAAGCTCTATCTGTGTGTGTCCAGTCCCACTATCAAGGACAAACCAGTAAGTAAATACACCAGAACTTCAGGCTGCAAGCATGAGTTTTCTAAAGCTGTCATTGAAATGATTGTGAATAAACACTCAAATTCCCACATTTAGATTTTTGAATGTTCCATTTCTGTGCGTTGTTAAGTACAGTTGAATCAGTTCCAACTCATAGCAACCCTGTATAGGACTTCCAAGAAGTGGCTGGTGGGTTTGAACCTCTGACCTTGTGATTAGCGGTCCAGTGCATAGCTTACAACACCACACCGGGACTCCAGTTTCTGTGTAGTACCTTTATTAAGCATAATAATGTGTTTCCAAATCTAAATATCTACAACTTTGCATAATAAAAGTACCACTGTTTTAGTGTGAACATCCAAAGTATTAAGGCCCAAGGCAGTAATGTCACTTTCTTCATAGGTTCAGATCCGTCCTTGGAACTTAAGTGATAGTGATTTTGTGATGGATGGTTCTCAGCCTTTGGATCCCCGAAAAACAATTTTTGTAGGAGGTGTGCCTAGGCCATTAAGGGCTGGTAAGTAGAATAGTAAACTTCATTTTCTAAAATATATTTTAAATATGAATTCTTATTCAATTTAATAAAGGCCTGTAGTGTACATGGCACGACTGGGTGGTAGAGAGACAGATGCCTTTTGCTGCAGCATTGCCAACTACAGACAGAATTCTGACACTGATTATGAGAATGCTTGTTGAAACTTACTGGAGGGTGGATGCTCAGCTAGCACTAACTCCAGGTAGACTCTATAAGAAGAATCTACTTAAATGCTTCTGTTTTTCTAAGGGAAACTTTTAAAGATAAAAGTATTTGGGTTGTGTGTGTGTGTGTGTGTGTGTGTGTGCGCCTGCGCTAGTGTTTTCACCATAAACTAAAGTAGTAGTGGAGCTAAGTTAGCGATTACCTTGTTTATGATCATCAGGAAGCAGAGATCGAGCCAATGCCATATAGGAACATAATTACAGATTTCAAGGGAAGATTGTGGGTTTAATTTTAAATGCAAGTGTATGGTACCATTCAGAACCCTGAATTAGAAATTCCAATTAAGCTGTTGGCATTTGATATACTTTTAAAGAAATTCACTTTAGCTTCTATTTTGAGAATAAAATGTTGGAGGTGGGTGTTGTAAGGAGTCAAAAGCAGAGAGATAAAGCTAAGGCCATCGTCCAGGTAAGCAATGCTGATATCTTGGAACAGTATGTTAAGTGTTGGTTCTAGATTTATCTTGAAAATGGAGTTTATCAGATTGGATATGCAGTGGGAGTGGGGTGGGGGGTGAGAGAACTGCTGAGGGTCTTGACTTGGCAACTTCATCCTTCTCAGTATTCGCTAACTTGATGGGCAGAATCTCACTGAGGTGGTTTGAGGAGTAAAGAAGATAAGAGCCATTTGACCACACTGAGGGCTGAAGTCTCTGTTATCTGTCAGTAAACAGTCACGTACATGAGGAGTGTGAAGTCTAGAGGAAAGGTTCAGGGTAGAGCTCTTCGTTGGTGTGTGCCATCGAGTCAGCTGCAGCTCCTAGGATGGAACAGGACAGAGTAAGACTGCCCCACTGGGTGCAGATCACCAGGTGCTTTCTTCTGGGGAGCCGCTGGTGAGTCAGAGTCACAGACCTGTGTTATTGGAAGCCATGACCCAGGACCAAGGCACCAAGGACGGGGACTGAAAGCAATCTGACATTGAAGAGTTGAGTTGCGGTGCCTGAGCGGTGAGGGGGAAGAAGATGAGGGGAATGTTGCTATCTGACAGTCAGATGAAGAAAACATTTAAAGGAGGGGGAAGGGCTTCTCTGTGTTAAATGTCTATGGCTAGACTGACCATTGGACTTGGCAGTGGGGGACGTGAACTTGACGAGAGCAGTCAGAGTGGAGTGGGGGGAGGGGGAGTGTGATTACAACGAGCTGAACAAAGAACAGGAGGAAAGAAATTAGACAGTAAGGAAAATATTTTGAGTAATTTGGCTATAAAAGGAAGCAGAGAACTGGAACAATTGCTGAGAGGGGAGAGTTGTGGTTTGGGTTTTTAAAGAGGAGGCAAATAAATCTACTCATATGCTAATGGTATGATCTGGTATAGAAGGAAAAAGAGATGGTGCTGTAGGGAGAAGGGAGAATCTCACAGAGGCGGCAGATAGCATAGGATCCTAGTACAGGTAGCCCCTGACTTTCCTACAGGGCTCCATGCTGACTGAAGTTAAATACTTCACTGGGTTTTGTGGGTTTTCATTATTATTGCCTTTTATTATCAGTGTCTTTGTAAATCCAATCTTTATTTGTCTTTGGTGTTGGCATGCAAAGGATTACATCAGCAAATTGCATGCTGCAGCATTATGTGCATTGCGTGTTACCAAGGGTAAGCTGCACCCTCAAATCAAACAAACAGGGACTGCTGGTCATAAGCACAAAATTCTTGGTAACTTAGTTACATGGTAATTCTGGAACTACTTGTATGCAAATGAGAGGATTAGATTTAGAAGTGAGACTGAATTGTTTATAGTACCAGGAGAGAAGGCGTGTCTGTGGTGGGCTCAATGTGCCTAAGTGGGTAGACATGGCAGCAATCTGTCTTTAGATTGGAAAATGGAAGGTGGAGGGGACTGCTTTGATACCAGCTTCTCCTTTAACAGCTGTTTCTTTTCTACTATGTCCTCATGGTCAGTGTTACTGCCCTGTTGACTTTTACTTGAAGAAGAACTTACTTGTTGACTGACTGCATTTTCTCCCATATGATACAAACTTCTTTTCCTTTCAAAGTGGAACTTGCTATGATAATGGACCGGCTGTATGGTGGAGTTTGTTATGCAGGAATTGATACAGATCCTGAGCTCAAATACCCAAAAGGTGCTGGACGTGTTGCTTTCTCTAATCAGCAGAGCTACATTGCTGCCATCAGTGCTCGGTTTGTCCAGCTTCAGCATGGTGACATTGATAAACGCGTAAGTTGCATACTGATCCAAAGGTCACTAGCCTAAGGACACTTTAGTAACATGATACAAAGGCTTTTCCTATAGACTTTTAGCTTCTGGAGTTACTAAAATACTGCATCAAAATATCCTTGAAATGTACAATTCAAGAATATTTTAGGTTTTTAGACTGACTTTAAATTTAAGGTATGATATATATTTTTTAAATGTCATTTTAAAGGCATTTCCAATTTTTTTATCAGATGGGGTTCAGTAGGAATCAGCTTGATCGCCGTGGGTTTGGGATGTTTGAACCATGGTGCCAGAGCTTGTTTTAAGAGCTTGGCTGGAACCAGACTGCCTGGGATTGAATACCTTTCCCCACTCTGTTCTCCCCGCTTCAAGTATAAAATGGAGAACAAAAATAGTAGCTATCTCACAGTGATTTTTAGGATTAGATAAACGTGCATAGGTAACAAGCGCTTAGAACAAAGCTAAGATTAAAATGCAGTGTTTATCATTCCCTACAATAATTGTCGTCGCATCCATTAAAATGCTCTAGTAGCACAGTGGTTAGAGAGCCTGCTGCTACCCAGATGTTCAGTGGTTCAAACCTACCACCCTCCACGGGAGAAATATGTGGCAGTCTCCTTCAGTGCAAAAAGATGTACAGCCTTGGAAAATCGATGGGGCAATTCTATCTGCCCTATAGTGTCCCTGTGAGTCAAAATCAACTCAGTGGCAATGATTTTGTTTCTGTTTTTCTGGTTTTATTTTTTTATGGGAAGATTGGCTAAGTTCTCACAACATGAACCTTTAGAACCTTTTAGAAGGCACTGATTGCCTTCTAAAATAGAGAAGAAGAGTGAAAATTGTTCCTTTACAAACCTTCGTCACTAAATGTTGGGAATAGTTTACATTTGCCTATAGTTAGAAGTATCCTGCAGTCATCATACATGGTACGAAGCTGATGTCTAATAATCACGTATACTGATATGAGGCAGAGTCCTGGGCTGGCGCTGTAGGAGAGACACGGGACCACAAGCTCAGTTCAAACTCACCAGCAGCGTCTTTGGAAACCCTATGCAACTCGAGGGTAATTAACAACAACATGGAAGTGACATAGCTGAGCTGGTACTTGTGGGGGGCTTCAATAAGCTCATGGACAAATGGAATGAAAAGACAGTGGAATTTTTCCTAGAGGTCTTTGAAGCCCCCTGTGTTCTTGCAAAGTAACATTTCTTCAAGGCTCTCCTCTGAAGCTATTTGTACATTTAGAAGTAGTGGGAGGGTGGGGGCAGAGGGACTGGTTAACTAGTAGCAGTTGACTAGACCATGAGTTGTAGAAGTTATCATCACTGTAATTGCCAAACCAGAGCCCAATTTAGAAACGTGATACCGCCTGGAGCCCCTGAGAGACACAAACCGTCAGGGGTTTGACTATTAGCTGTTGGACCCCCACCAAGAGGCGTTTCAGAAGATGGGGCTGTGGAGTCCGCTGCTGAAAGCTCACAACATGGAAAACCCTATGGAGCAGTACTACTCTGCACAGCCGATGTCGTCACGAGTCAGAATTGACTTCATGGCAGCTAACGACGACAGTACAGCATAGGCTTAGTTCATAAATGCAGAGTGGCTTTTTGTGTGTGCTTTGTCACTTAAAATGGCCCCAAAAATGTATCTCAGAGAGGCTTTGTTTTTATTCAGATATTGTAAAAAAAATGACCTAATGATGTCTGACCTCCTCTGACTTAACTACGGTGGAAAAGACTCAAAGTCAGCATCAGCCCAAGGCTTATTTCTATGGTACGAGGGGTCAGCCGGGCCTCCACTGTCCTTTACCAGTTGTGACCACAAACCCCCTGTTCCCACAGCTCTGTGTGCTCAGCTGGATTTGATAATCCATTGCAGTGACCACACAGAACTCAGCCCCTTACTCACCGTCTCGGGGATTATTAGGGAACTTGAACAGGACATAATATTCAGAATTAGAAATATCCGGGTTACAACCGTTTCAGTCAGGACAGACCTGCAGGCAGGCTCTCTCTCATCCTTAGCTTCTCAGCCACAGACCGACCGCTTGGCCTCTGCCCTGCTCCAGCGGTGTTACAGAGCTCTGTCAGCAGTGCTGATTCCTACCCAAAAGGCACTGTGTTCCATTAGAAACCTCAGGCAGAAGGTGCTCAGCTCTAACTCCATGTGGCTCAGCAAATCACGCTCCCAAGTAAGTGCATAAAGGCACCGCACTTCGCAACTGAGCCTCCTACCCAAAGGCACTCAGCTTTCCTGGCTCGGCTCCAGGCTCCATGGCCAGAAAGCCCATTGCTGTCTGGTGCTGTGGCTCTTGGCTGTCCTGCTGATGCTCCTGATCACCCCTCTGCTTTCCCAGCTCTGTCTCTGGGGCTGAGGAGGTTCAATGTACAGGGAGCTCACGGTCCCCAAAGACATTATCCACGCTTGGCTCTTTTTTCTTGTTGGTAGTATGAGGCACCCCCTCCCAGTTTCTGAGGTGACTCATTTTGTACCCATGTTAGAGTTCCAAGTTATTTCAATCATAATCAACCCTGTTAACAATCCCTCACAACGGAATCATATCATCCCCTCAGCACCCTCAGCATGCAGCTACGCCCACCTCCTCTCACCCAGATCCAGCAGGAGAGAAAGTGGCTTGGTGGGCATTACAAAGAGTGTGGGTTAGAGTCATATGAAGGAATTCACTGCACTGCAGACTACAGACAAACTTTTTAAACTGGTTTGAACTTCAGCATTCCTAGTCCAGTGTTTTCAACTTTAGCTACATGTTGAAATCAACTGAGAAAGTTCAAAAATCTTGCCACCAGTCTCTCCTGTCCTACCTCCCCCAGGATTCTGATATCATTGTCTGTGATACAGCCTGTCCAGCAGGCCCTTAGGAAGGTCCCCAGTAGTCTAGTTTAACCCCCTGCTTTTGCAGAGAGGTGAGAGGGTCCCAGTGGGAGTTGTTTGCATTGTCCATGTGTAGGGGGGGATCCCTGGGCAGAAGCAGAAGGGAGAGATTGCTGCGGACTCCTACCCCTTACCACCCAGTTTCCAAAATGAGTGATGTACCGATCATCTGGGGAGGAAGGTTGATCCCTAAATACTAGCTTGGGTGCAACACGGGTGATTTGAGAAACTGATGCCACCTTCTTAGAAAGGCCATGTTCAAATCAGAATTAACAACTTAGATTCCACAAGATACTTACTGGGAGAGGATGAAAATTGTATCTTCAACTTTTATTTAGGCTCTTGGACACTTGAGAGAGAGATTTAGTTCCTACCCTTCCTGGCAGCTGGGGGGCTCAATCACTACACGTTGTCCTTTTTGTTTTGTTGATCAGTGCTCTATAAGTGATGACCTCACTTTGGGTAGATACTAAAATGAATTGTGCTATTCATCAAGTTGAATGATTAATTACTAATTATTTCAATAGTTATGAATCCATTTAACAAAGTATTACAGATTTGGTCCTCCAGAGTGGAAAAGGAAGAACAACATAATAGAAAGTAAGAATAGGAGAAGAATTGATGAAATCCCGATCACACATGCACGGGGCTTCAAAAAGTGTATAGGAAACTGGAATTTTTTTCATGAACTTCGGAAGACCTCTTGTACAAGAATTAATTGTTGGTAGAAGGATTGATGCTTTTGGGTTATGATGTTGGAGGAGAATATTGAAAGTGCCATAGGCTGCCAAAAGAACCAACAGATCTGCTGTGTTGGAAGAAGTGCAGCCAGAGTGCTCCTTGGAGGCCAGGATGGCCAAATTTCATCTCTCATACTTCGGACATATTGTCAGGAGGGACCAATCGCTGGAGAAGGATGTCATGTTTGGTAAGGTTGAGGGTGAGAGAAAAAGAGGAAGACCCCCAGCAAGATGGATTGGCCAAGTGGCAGCATCAATGGGCTCGAGCGTGGCAACAATTATGAGGTTGGCCCGGGACTGGGCAGTGTTTTGTTCTGTTGTGCATAGGGTTGCTATGAGTCAGTACTGACTTGATGGCACCTAACAACAACAACAGCATTGCTAATAAAATAGGGCTTGATCGTATTATAAACTCAAGGCTGGGATCCTGTTTTTCATCATTGAAGTTTGTGTTTTAAGTTAAGTAAATTTAAACAAAACCCACTGCCGTTAAGTTGATTCTGACATACAGTGATTGATCCTATTTTCGGTGTGTGAGAGTGAATCTTTCTAAGAGTAGACAGCCTCATCTTTCTCCCTCGGAGCAGTTGTTAGTGGGTTTGAACCACCATCTGACCTTAGTAGCCTAGCGCCTAGCCCCCACAACACTACCACTTCATAAAATAATTTCTAGAATTAAATGAAAAATATAAGTAATTTAAACCATAGCATTTAAGAAATTTTTTCATCAGCTTTGCATTGATTCTTGAGCACAAAGCATTTTACTAGCTCCTGTGGAAATGAAGTGAAAAATGGCAGACCTTGTGCCCGGGTTGCTTAAATCATACACTAAAGGCAAGGAAGAATCCACGAGGAGAGTACTCTGTTTATTCAAGCTCTCGGATTTGTTTTACAGGTGGAGGTGAAGCCATATGTGCTCGACGACCAGATGTGTGATGAATGCCAGGGCGCACGCTGTGGTGGGAAATTCGCTCCTTTCTTTTGTGCCAACGTCACTTGCCTGCAGTATTACTGTGAGTTTTGTTGGGCAAACATCCACTCTCGTGCAGGACGTGAGTTCCATAAGCCATTGGTAAAGGAAGGTGCTGATCGCCCACGTCAGATCCACTTCCGCTGGAACTAAGAGCAGCCAGCCGGCGGCGTCTGTTAAGGAAAGAAAGGGTGCATGTGGCTTACTGTGTTGGAAGATACTGACGCGCAGAAGAAATAAGTGCATTCTTCTGCTTCTCACCCCAGCTCTCAATACATGCATCTTTATCAGCAGCCAAAACACTTACAAGCCTCTTATTTTTCACCAAAACCCTACATCTCAGGCTTACTAATTTTTGCGATATTTTCATGTTAAAATAAAATGTTCTTTTGTATTTTTTCCAAGTTATTTTTATATGTAAAGTGAAAATTAGATATGAGAATGTTGTGTGTAGGGGCACCACAGTCTGCTGCTATAGAATGGGTGAAGCGTGCACTTATTTCTAAACCTGGGTTTGTAACTTCAAGATCTGCCCCAGTAACTAACCAAAGGTAGCAAAATAATAGTGAAGATGGAATATGTCTGCTACAAAGGCTTATTTTTATGGTTGCTATTTTCAGTGTATACATAAACTAAAAATTAGGGTTGATTTTTTTGCTCTCCATTTTGACTTGCAAGAAATAATACCTCAAGATAATCTGATTTATTAGCTATTTTTAAACATTTTTAATCACAAGCTGTATTAGCTTTGCTGCTATATAGGTGTGATGTGTAAATGCCACCTATTAATACGGGATTGAAAATGTTAGAGAGACTGCATTGCAGATAAGATGCAGGCAGCACAATATGGCCTCAACTGCCATAGTTTTAGAATGTGAAAAAAAAAAAAATGCATGTTTACTTACCTGTATACATCATATGCATGCACTAGCGTTATTAAGTATAACAAGAGATGAAGTGTTGCAAATGTTCAAACAAGCTCTCTTGACTCTAGGTAGCATGAACAAATTATAAAATTTGTTTTAAAAAAGCAAACTTGCATGCATTAGTGTGATTTCAAGTTGAAAAAAAAAAAAACACAAAACACACACCTGTCCTACATGTGTACAATATGCAAATTTGTTTTAGATTAGTGAGTGCAGCCATTTGTGATCTGGTCGGTAGTGGAATTGGATTTATGCAGACTGGATGTAATATTTGTAACCCCTGTGCAATTTTGTGATGTGCGGTTCTAATTCACGTGCGGTAATGTAGTGTAAAGACTTGAGTAAAAGAAAACTACAGAATTTCAGATGATGTTGATTTTAGCCCCTTTTGAGAGTTCATGGTTAAGACATCCTTTACAAACCAAAGATGGTCAGCACACTGCTAACCAGTCACCAAACGTAAGACCCACAAGAAGCCCGTACTTACAAACGTGAAACCTAAGTAAAGTCAAAATGGAGATGGGAAATATACAGATGGCTAGTTGCATGAAATTAAATTTGATCTTTAATATGACATTGGTAAAATCTGGCTTAAACTTCCTTACATCTTTGACCTGTGTATCTTAGAGGTCTTCTGTCTAAACTGGGGTCGCTGTTGCATGGAGCATTGTTGTCCTTAACGGTTAAGGATTGCTTTTTGTTTTTGTTTTGTTTATTTTGATGAAGGAATTTTGGTGATGACTTTGCTTGCAGTTTTGTTTGTTTGTTTGTTTGTTTTTTGGAAACATGCAATAGTTACTGAGCTTCTCTTGGTACTAAACACTATTAGAATATCATCAGTAATATATTCTTTTTTCTTCTTCAGAACATTTTTTAATGCAACTAGCCCCCTGCGTTTTAACATAAGAGTTACTCTGCAATCTAAGCAAGGCACCAGACAATGGGAAATGTTGTTTTAAAATGCAGATTTTTGACTCTAAAGAGAAAATTACAAGGGCGTTGCCTTAGAAGCAAACCCTTGGGACAATCCTTCTTGTGAGCCAAGTGTTGATCTTATATTGGTTGTTGATGGCGTGCTTTTGTACTGTACAGATATGTGGTTCATGTCTAACTCTGCTGTTTTCTTGTGGCTGTGGTTCAAGTTTTTAATGTTTAAAGTTGATGCTGTTTTCAGAAGAGCTTTTTACGAATTTATTTGTCAATGTTCCCGATTTGTTACTTAACCATGGTCCTCCAGGATTTTTGGAGTATTCTTTTCTAACCTTAGCCCTGCCAAACCTTGATCCATTTTGACATTTATTATGCACTATTTTTATATCTCTGTGAGAGATTTTTCCAGCAGTCAGCTGTTTTATGGCACACTTTTTTTGACTGATGACATCTCCTTTGCTATACCTCAATTTTTGGAACTTAGAAAAGAAATCAGTAGTTTTGCAATGTTAATTATTTAGATATTTAATTTCGCAGATTTTTTAACTTTATTTTCATAATTTCTGCTTAATGTTTAAAATTAAAGAGCCTTTTCATGTATTAAATAATGAACACTAAAATAAATTCTATGTTGGAAATAATTGGAGATGCTGAAAATCACTTTCCCTTCTTAAATATTTGAGAAGAAGGGAAATGTAATAGGACACCCTTCTCGCCACGGGTAAAAGGACAGAAATGATTTGTTTTACCTTCATTTCTGTTCCAAGTAAAGCTCATTCGTTTGAAGACTGTTCCTCTCCCCCTTTACCCTTGCCTCCCCCCAACTTTTTAGGCCCCACATTCTTTCTTTCTAACTGTTGAACACTGTATTGGAATTTTTCTGTTTTATTTTTTTTTTAATTTGCAAATCATATTTATTTTACTATTTTTGTAGAAAATTATTACTTTTGATTGTATTTTTGTATTTTAAGAGCTTCTTCATTTGTGTTCCCTAACTGTTCATATTGCTGCCCAAAAGTATGACTGTGGAGGAAAAAAAAAAAAAAAACTCTAAAAAGACACCCTTTTTGTTAAGAAGGAAACATTTAGCATTTATATATTTGTGTCTGGGAAACACTTGATATTTTATCCCTGTTGCATCTGGCTGCACAGAGCCTCTCCTCGAAGATGCCACAAAACTTGAATCTAACACATTTCGGAAGGCTGACTACCCTCGATTCTGTGTTGTGATGTGCAATACTGTTTCTAATGTTTGTATAAAAAAAAAAAAAAAATGACAGTGTAAACCTTTTTAATGCAAATTTATTTTTTTCATTGCATATTTTGCAGATTTTATCCACAGTGTCATTTTTTACTGTCAGAAAAGATACCCCTTTTGTCATTGCAACTATTTTTTAAATCCCGAAATCTTTGTACTGATGTAAATGATTGTAGTTATTTTGAATAGTGTTTTGCTAACAAAAGGAGAGACTTTTTTCATGCATATTTCTATTTTGTTTTCTTTTTGGGTTTTATTTTATTTTAATAGTAGTAAAATACTTGGAATAATTTTTCATATCTTGTCATTAATATTATTTTGTATTTTTATGTGGAAATATATAATTTTATGACACTAATTGCTAAAGTTTATTTTATGTTGAATTATTTTTGGAGCTGAAATCTTTGTAATATTAAAAGCAACTAGTTTCTAACTCCCAGTTTCTGTATAGAATCGCACAAGTGGTTTATGGAGTGTTTGGATTGTAATTATAAATGGTTCTTTGATATGCAAATTAATATTTTCCGTTGATTTTATTTTATATTCCTAATGGGGTGTTAAAGCCGTTTTTTATTTTTTTCTAAATAAAACAGAGAACCCATGCTTTTATGGACACTAGGTAAACGCCTTCAGCTTAAATTTTTTTTGTTAAATATTTTCGTTTATTTTATTGTTATCTTCCAGGTGTCTAAATCTCCAGTCTGTCTGTTGTACTGGTAATTTAACTCTGTAATGGAATAGTTTGCTGCCAACTATTTATATTAAGTAATTTTTAAATATTTGTAATATTGTTGACTGACTAATAAACTATTAAGTTATTGGCATAGTTGTGGCATCTTATTCTTTAGTTCAGATATTTAATGAAATATCCATCAACCACCAGAAAGATGTTATTTGGAGCATTTAGTGGTATGAATATGTTACAAAACTTAGTCCACTCTCTATTTCAATATAAGATTGGAAAGCAAACTTAGAGACCATTAGTCCAGCATTTCTCAGTAGATCAGTCCCTGAGACTGTTTCTCCTCCTCATCCTCATCTTCACCTTCCGCCTCCTGCCATGGCCTCCTCTCCCCCAACCCCATGCAACACACACACAAAACATAAATGGTTCTGTGTTACAGATATCACAGGTAATTACTGTCTCCACAGCTAAACAGATGCTACATACTGCTTCAAATACTCGCTCATTGGAAGCTACTCATCTCAAGAATTTTTCTGCTTCTTTTCTGCACAGCGAGCATATGGGTTCTTGCATGGCCATGTCATAGAGGGAACGGTAAAGAAGATGTGGAATCCTTAGCCTGGGATTTAGTTAATCATCCTAATTGTAACTGCAACAGTTCCATTTGTAACTTGAACCAAGGTGGTGGTCTACATAAAACTTCGGTGGGCAGGTGTGGGAATGAAAAGAGTCTCTTGCCTTTTAAAAATAAAAGGCTCCAAAATTCACTGATCATGACGATTTTCTTAACCTTTGGGGCCATAGGTAGCTGACCAAGGTAATTTTTCACAGTGGTTTATCTTGGCATTATGAGGCTTTTTTACTTTTACCATCGTTACCCATCTTCCTGACACTCGAAACTTATCTCATCCCTCCTGCAAAGCTTACATCCTCATCCATTTGTACTGTGGCATATACTGTCTTTTTTGGCGGGGGGGACGTGATCTTCGGTTCTCTTCTCCCGACAAACCCCCTTCATAAAGACATACGGCAGCCTCCATGTTCTGGCAGGTCTTGAGATTTAGTAGGAATTTCAAGTTCTCTTGAATCTTTCACTTGCTGACATCACATCATTTATCGTCCCAGATGGCCCTTTCCCTTTGTTGTTTAAAAATCAAAGAGACTCTGAATGTCACCCAAGTGTTGGACCATTTCACAGCCTTTCATAAGTGAAAAAGGTCAGGATAACTGAAACTCAATGTAATACACTAGAAGAGCTTAAAAGGACCAGAGTAAATGTTTTATCAAATGTGGAGGGGAAGGCATTCCTGCTGAAATTCAATTTTCTTAAAATGATTTCTACTAGGTTAGAGAA